TCTCTTCACAGTCTGGCTTGTCTAAACAGTCAGGGACTGAATACCTTGAAAGACACAGTCCAAAGTCCAAGAGAGAAGTCAATGTGGTCCCAGATAACCAAAGGCTAAAAAGAAAAACAGCAAGGCATCTGAGGAGAGACAGTTTCCCTGAAGTGTAGTCCTTTTCCCTAAAAACAAATCAAAAGGGCTGACCCAAATGGAAAGCTCTGCACAGTGAGAACAACTAGTGAGCAGTAAACATCCACAAAGTATTTCCGTACGTAGCATTTCTGAGTGGAAATGGCATTACTAATGAAGTGGCACTAGTCACAAAGATTCACATGGTTGATGAGCTACATGGCCGATGCAATCCCGCACCTGGGGGCAGCTGAGGTGCCCAAGCCACCAAGAGGAACCTGTGGATCCGGAGGGGCTCACGACTGCTACGAGTGCTCTTCTCCCTGCCTATGCTGCTTCTGCCCCTTGCCTGTAACACTAGAGGCATTACAGTGCAAGTACAAAGCTCCTTTGCGATGGATAGAGTGTTCATAATAAACTCATCTCTTATTGCTAGGCAACACTGAGCAATGTGAATTTGTCACTTCTGTTTGGTGCAACTTTCAATTTCACCTCCAACTGTAACAATATAAGCCTGCTATATTTTAGATGCCACTATGGTTGGATGCCATCCCAGGAAAGATGTGAACTACTACTGACAGGGAGTGAATGACTGGCAATGGGCATAAGCAGTTTTCTGATTTTTAAGCCGTGACATATAATTAATTGCTAGATTTAGACTTCTATGAAAGTCATACTTCATGATTCCTCCTTGCTGATTGCCTTTTAGATATCGCAAATGTAGCATCCCCAGACAGGTGAATTTCTGTTTGCAGGTTGACCTCTTGTCACGTGGCGCTTGCTCTGCACCGGCTGTCTTTCTGAGGGATGGCTATGTGTAAAATTCACAGCCCCCCAGTGAAGTCAAAGCACGATTATTGCTAAGGAATGTAAAATTACTTGTTGGAATAAATATACTCCTTATCTTAAGAAATTAAGGTTCATAACTTAAAAGATACCAAGCAACTCTCATGCACTGCAGAATACCCTTAGTATCCAACATCACCGACTGTTGAGGCAGCTCCACTTACTGAAGAAGGAAGACTATAGTTATTTTTTTTACATTAAATGATTTCTCTATTCAAGATGTTTCTGATTACAGCACTCATAGGACTGTTTTAAAAATTTGTACATGATTATTCGATTTGGCTATCAGGTTACTGCTTTTCAATCTTTGAAGAATATTAGGTCTGTTTGGATGCAACAAAAAGGAAAAGGGAAAATTTATATCACTCCACTTAAGATATGAAAAAAGGGATAAATCTTCTACTTGAAAAAAATGCATATTCAAAAAATCATCTTCCTCATAAATAATTTCTCTAAATCTTTAGAAATATTTCATGATTGCATGAATTGTGCCAAATATGCCAAAAATGAGAATTTTAATAATATTTTAGTCTTTGCATATTTTCACTGACTCACTGAAAACAAAAGGAGTGTCTGTAACTGTATGAATGAACCGTGGCATGTGCGTGTTCTTTTAAGAAAGGCCAAGGGTGCAGTTCTATTTTCTTAGCTCTGCTTTCATATTTATGTGTCTCATTTCCAGCTCATTGCTGATGCCTTAGTTGCACTATCCATCAACACTTTTATCCTCCTTGTTCCTCAAAAAGAACATAAAATCCTTTTTTATGTGGTGGTAATATTATTGCAAATAAAAGCAAATACCAAAATCTTTATTAGTCTGCCAAAATAATAAACTATTTAATAAAAGCATGCTGTAAAAATAAGGTCATTTGCATCACTCAAGTTTCTTGCAGGAAATACAGAGAATTATTGGTCAAAAAGTACAAACTGACAGCAATTATTTCTGTTGTTGATCTAATGCTTCCTGAAAATGGGTTAAAAAATGCACTGAGGTTTTGCAAGTTTGCTCTCTTTAAATGTTTGTTTTTAATGCTGGTGTGTACAGAGCAGCCTGGGAGAATCAAAATTTTCAAAGCTCTCTTTTTTTTACCAACCTTCCCTATAATTGAAGAAAGGAAGAGTGGATAGACCCTATTAGAAATCTTTACTGCAAAGCTCGAGCTGAACCTCTGACTCCCTTACTGCCACAAGATTTATCATCCAAATATTTACCATTTTTACATTCAGTATTAATTGTATTTGTTTAGGATTTGTGTCAGCTTTAGCTATAATATTTTTTCACTGTTTTTTTTTCATTCTTGCAGACAGATCAATACAAAGGTTTTATTTCAGAAGTTGGTAAAATGCTTCAAGTTAGTCGAAATAGGTCTTTCAAAACCATAAATCCAATGTCTGATCCTTTCTTCTTATTATATTACAAACCTGACCATTATTTTCTCACTCTGCAGTTTCTCTGCCTACCTGGCAGTTCTGCAAGTCTGTTATTGATAGAGTGCAGAAAAATCAGCTGCCGTGGTGAGATTTAAACACTGTTTGTGATACCCTTGTACACTACCTAGGAAGAACCTGCATATAAATATTAAAAATAAGCTAATTACAATTTTTACTTAGCTCTAAAGTATTTACCTTACTTGCTATAATCATTATGATAGGGATGGATCCCTGGAAGAACTGAGTTAAAAGGTTTCAGAGACATTCTTTTTCTGTAATTTTTAAAATGATATTTTGTAACTTACACAGCTGTAAAACCCTATAAATTTCAAAATACTCATCAAAGTGTAATTATGCCCACTTTACAGATAGGGAAACTGAAACAAGGAGCAGCTGAAGCTGCATGAAGGATTATGCAACAAGTTACCAACCAAAGAGAGAATAAAATTCCAAGATTCAGATTGCTGGTGCCATCTCGTAATTTTGGGCTTTACTGCCTCTGCTTCTTAAGTGCGATAGAGATGCTCCACTTATTTTGAGGATGAGACCTGTACAGAGATGAAATATTTTAAAAATGCATTATAGATATTGAAATGAGCACTTCCTAGAGTCCTGTTAGTGTATCTGATCATGCTTCAAACCATAAAATAGCCAGGAGTTATTCTCCTTGCTTCACAGACTGCAGTATGACTGCTGAAACCTGAATTAACTCTGATATGAAATAATGTTTAGGATGTAATGTCAAGTGATATGTGTAGGGTAGGTAAAAAGCATGTGTGTTAGAAGCATCAATTTTGTCATTTTGAAGGTAAGGAAAAATTTGTATTTGCATATATTGGTAGGTTCAGTAAGTCTCTGCCTTGCAAACACTTGAGTTTCTTTACACATTCTGGTAAAATTAACCATATGTTTTCAAAAACTTCAGCTATATTAGTGGTTTCCAACGTTGACTTGTTTGGATAGTGCTTGCAGTAATAGCAGTTGCTGGAGTAACAGCTCCCACATATAGATAGGACTATAGATAGGGCAAGAAGAGAGGTTCAGCTGTTAGGACAATTGTACAATAGAAATTGTAAAAAGAACATGTAACAGTTTAAGAAGACTCCATCTAAAGGTTTATTAATCAGTTGTACAGTTGAAATTAAAAGCACTTGCATTACATGAGCTTCATATTTATTGGGATTGCTATGCTATGTATACGTCATTAAGACAAACTGTACAGCTGGGATTTTAAAAGATTCAGATAATTGTATGAATGTTAATTAGAGCTTTTTTTTAATTCAGGCTAAGATATGCAATAAAATATCACAGAGTCACTTTTTTTCAGAATATAATATATTAAATTACATGTAAAACTCAGCAGATTTGCAAAGGACTTTTAAGAATAATTTCTGAATTGCGTTGCTGAGGTACAAAAGAACTAAGTAAATTGTCAATGGTCAAACAAATCAGTGGCAGATGCCTCTAGATGATAATCTGTGATTCAGAAGAATATAGATGATTAAAATTAATCCCAGCTTCCACAAAACAAACAAACGCACAAACAAAAAACAGGCAGTGGTAACTGGAAAAGTGAAATTAATGCCCACACAGCAAAAAAATATGGATTGCTGGCCCTCTGGATTAATTGCATAGGAGACTAAAACCACAGAATCTATGGAGCGGTTCTAACTTGGCCTTTCAAGTAAATCTCTGCAGACAGATGTTAAACTTCTGCTCTTGCCTCAGCCCCTACTCATAGAGTGCAAAGATGCTGTAACGCTATTGCAGTGGAACAGTGACTTGTGTTTATTCTGTTTCAAATCTGCAAGTTCAGATTTTTTTTTATTCATAGTGCTTATACTAAGATCAGAGACAAGATATTATAGAACCAGTGGGGTCCACTAGAGATTTATTTTTCAAAATCAGTACATAACCACCAAGTACTCAGAAGTGTCTTTCAGACTATTGCAAAATATTTCTCTACTTCAGAGCTTAAACACAGAAGAAAGCATACAGACAAAGAAGTGTTAGAAAGGAAGTAATATGCCCTTATTTATAGCACTTGCCCACTTGTCACTCTCGAATTCTCATCTGCCTTTCAAATGCAGTGTAATCTAATTATGCATACTGTATGCTCGTGCAGACAATTTCCTCAGTTCAGAGTATGTGGAGTTTGGTAACAGCTTTTGTACTTTTCCTTAACCTGTTTCCGAAATAGCTCTGTCACCATTTGTCTCATTATTATATAGGATGATGGAAATTGACGTCTTTCTATATAGAAGCAAAAAGAGTATTAGTTTTATCAAAGACTAGATCCTCCCTATCCCTCCAGTGAGATTTGAATTTGGTCACTTCAGGCCTTTCTGTGTAGGATGATCTTAAGCAATAGTCGCTGTGGTTGCAGGCTCTATCACCTAATAATTGACCATGACAGGAATTGTATGTCCAAAGCCAAGGGGTAGAGTGAATAGCATATGTCAGGGTCAATTATAAGGTGGAAGACCCTGCAACAAAAAAGCCTGCACTGATTAGAGCATGATGTTGACAAGGGAGCTGACACTTCGGTGTTGTTTTAAAGGGCACTGTCACAGCCACCCCTTCCTTCAGGTCTCAAAATCTGAGCCATGGCTTATGCTACACGTGACGCAGTAAAGTTCAGTGGGACACTCAGAGTTATTTTTCCTTTTTTTTGCATTTTTGCAGAGATAAAATATCTTATCTGTGTAATGCAAATTTAAGCTTACCTGCTTTGCTAATTACATCAAAACAGGTCCATACTTAGGAGGTTATTTCTCCCTTGAATAATCTGATTGTGAGACGATAACAGTATTAAATGTCATGCAATTAAGAAGTCGATTATTAAATTCATTAACATTATTTGTACAGGCCAAATGGAAGAGGATAGGAACAGTGGAATACAGAGAAAGCAGACGTTTTTATTGCTTAAGCAATGTCTTTAATATTTCATGCTGCAGGAAGAATTTTGCAGAGTAACAAATGGGCTAAATAAGCTGCTTGTTGATTATTCCCCTGCAACACCAACAGTTTTAACCTACTTGGATGTTCTTGATCAGTGAGGAACTGACATTTAGTAACTAAATAAGGATGCCAAATTATATACCATCACAACAGGCTACTGCAGTTCCTTTACAGACTGAAGTTTTCTGACTCCTCCTTTGAACACTGTTTCTATAAACTTTCGTGGCTCTGATGACCTCAGTCATCCCTGCATTCAAGATCGCAGTGGTCTAACTAATAATAATGGAGAAGATAGTGTAGCTTAATCTCATTAACTAGAGTGTGAATTCCCCTCTTGCATGGGGTTTGCATGAGGTTTTATCCATGATCCCATTTTTCTTGCGTACTTTGCAGCTATCATAGGTACTGGGAGGTTTTTTTTTTTTTTTTTACTAAAACTACTGAGGGATTTTATTGAGACAAAAATACATTAAAATCCCACAGATCAAGCAAAACAGAAAAAAAATGAAAATGAAGAATTTTGCCAGCCATACTTGACAGTGTCTATTGGTCATAATTGTTGTTAGTGCTTTCACTAATAAAATAAAAAATTTGAACACTGAAAACAGATCTAGTGACAAGGAAAAAAAAAGTCATCAGTTCCCCATGCATATGAAATTTAGCTTGTGCTAGTGCATCTGCTGGAAAAGGAACATACTAGTCATTTTGATGAAGGTGTCACCTCATAAGATTTTCAATAGAGGCTGATTTTATTCATTTGACTCACTGAACACAGGTAGATCAGTTGATGAAAATGAAGGAATACATCAAAAGCTTAGAAAAACTGGCATGACATAAGGACCATTGCAGGACCTCAGGAACACGTATGATGCATAGGACTAAATTCTGTGTCTATTATAGTGGGAAATAAATACAGGTCTGAGAGGATTCTCCAAGGTTAAACAGTATGGGTAAAGTTGATGGATTTAATACTCTGCAGAAATAAGATAAATCACTTAGGAAAATGACAGCCCTTTTCATACTGGAAGCAGGAGCTATGGGATTAGCTGTGTGTATTTTAAGAGAGCACTTAAGAGAAGGAAGCCTCTAGCCCTGGTAAGTCCTCCTTCCTGTACAGCACAGATCGCCCAGGCTGTATTGGTGTGAACGGCTGCAGACAGACCTGGGGTCCTACTTGAACGAGGCCAGCCATGTGCCAAGGTGTTTGGGCTAATCTTTATAGGCTGTAATAGTTTAGACATTCAGAGCAGACCTGCTGATATCTAGTGAGCTTAAAATGTGGACAGAATATCCTGGAGTCCTTCCATAGCCAGGAGGGGAGATAGATGGCGCCTATGAGAAATTATTTCATTCAGCTTTTAGTAGCATGTCAATATTTCGCAAGCTTGCAAAAATTATTTTTCCAAAATTTCATTTTGGTGTATCGCAAGGAAGAATCTATAATACCATGTCTGCTGTGAAGTTAGTGAAAATTTGGGAAGTTGTCAATGACATGCAGCTAAGGAGCTGCTCAGAAAGTTTCTTAGTTTAAAAGACAAAGATGTTCTCCTTTAACATCTGAAAACATTTTTCTGTGTTGCATCAACAGCTTTGGGTGCTGGTGGCAGTGAAAATTCTGCCACCTGTTACCCAGGGAACTCCTGCGGCTGCAGCAGAGCGGGAGAGGTGTAACTTAACGAGGGACAAGGACAACTACGCCCACGCAAACCCGACCGCTCTAGTCTTGGATTTGGCAAGGCAGGTAAAGGAGGCAGCGATTTTCAGAATCTCAGTTTAAAGAGAAAATGTTCTTCTAATGTTATGTCTACCCTATATATGCAGTATTCTGTTACTTATTGGGGATTATAATGGGAAATCTTCTTTTAATTAAGAACTTCAGCAGCTCACCTTTAACTGCCAATCATTGGATAATTGGCCCTTTTCTAACAGGCGCTGCAGCTCAGGTATGCTAAAATGACTGTTTCTCAGAATAACTTACTGATAGTAAGCTATTTTTGGAACTCATTTATGAGAGAACGTAATTAACTATTCCAGGTCATTAGGGATACTGCATTGCTTTTTTAATCCTCTGACAGGTTCCTCCAGTTATATTAATTCATTATTACTATTTTCAACTTTCCATGCACAAAAAGATGAGCAAGAAACACAGAGGCACTATTGCGTTTCCACCCAAAGTAGCCAGTACCTCTTCTCTGAGAAAAAGAAAAGGGCTTTTTTTTTTTTTTTTTTTTTTTTTTTTTTCGGGGTTGGGGGGAGTGCAGGAGCATAGCAGAAGATCCTGGGGCAATCTGCTTGAGAGACGATGCACTGACTTCTGTCCACAGCCACGTGGCAGCACCCTGGTAAAAGCAGTCACACTCCACCAGAGCTCATCAGGTGAATTAGAGTGAACACTTATGCACTGAATGCATTTAAAATAATTTGAAACAAGCACTTTTGGGGGCATAAAATACAACACTTGCTTTGAAACCCACTTTATTATTTCAATTTAGGCACATTTCACAAAATCTGTGAGCAAAAAAGCACTTATTTTACTCTTGATAATGGCTACTGAGGTTTCCATCACCAGTAGAAGAAAAAAGGTCCAGTTCCCCAAGCAAATAAGGAAGACTTTGGTCCTGCAGTGTCTGCTTCAAACAGAATGTCTGAGTTGATTGTAACTGGAGATTGTTTTTTTTTTTTTTTTTCAAAGCTATAAATCTGAATGCAATACAACCATCAGCTGGAAACCAGCAGCATTGTGGCAGGGTAGACTAATAATAATGGACCTTCGTGAAGGCAGGCGGCTTGAGAATTATCCCCCTCCTCAGATCTTCTAACAATGCGCTATTTAGAAGAGAGCTTTACAAGTGTTTGAATTTGGTTATAAAGCTGTCTGATTAGAGCTACTGATTTTATGGATTCTCCATTTTCCAAAGAAGCAGAATAACTTATGTGCATGATTTTTAGACTTTCCGTGCATTGTTGCTAAGCACTTTAAGCCAGCATCTTTTAAACATTCACAACTACTAGTTCAATTATTCTTTCTTGTCATGATCAAAAATAAAAACACATTTATGTGTCTTTCACGAAAAGCAAAGACACAGGTGATGTATGATAAAATAATAACCCAGGTTTCTGCAATAATCAAAACACCTCTGTTCTTTTTTTGAACAGTTCTTGAGAGGTGGGTTTATTTCCTATCAGCTCATTTTACTATGCAGTATTGCTTCAATGAACTTAGTAGTAATCTCAGCTAAAACACCAAGTCCCTTGGATTTACAGTTTTAATTCAGAACAGGCCTCTATTACCAAAAAAAAAAAAAAAAAAACCCAAAGCCAAACAGGCAAAAAAAAAAAAAAAGGACAGCATCCTATCAAAATAATCCCTGTGCTTTCCTCAGAAAAGATTTCCCGAGTGTGGGATTCACAACTAAGAGATCTAGAGTCTGACAAACCTGAGTCTAATATGTTTTGAAGATCAGAAAAGACAAAAACGCTATTAATTATGAGGAGGAACTTAAACTGTCCTGTAAGTAATTCCAGATGTTTTTATGGCCAAAGCATAAACTGAAAAAATATTTTTTAACACACTTGATTTTTCATAATCTTTCCTGTATAGAAAAATCCATGCTGTGGTTACCTTCTCTTCATAAGTACTTATCAGATAAATATACATTGAACCTCAGTTTTTAATTCTGCAGTTGTTATTTAAAGAAGTATTATCATCTCGTATCTATAATTACCAACTCCTGCTCTACAAGTTTCAGTAACTTTCTGTAAAAATCATGCAACCTAAAAGGGGAAAGTCGGATCTTTCAAATGCCTTCTGTAAAAAAAAATCTTAAAATACTTTTATTTGTCTCGCTAGGCCTTGCAGATTTATTGGGGCACATTTATCATTTTAAATATACATATTTATCATTTTAAATATACATATATATGTATTTCCCACTGTCTTGCTTCTCCTGGGATCTTCAGAGTGATCAGTTCGTTTGCAAGGAACCTGTATTTCAGACTCCTGCCCAAGGTCGCACTGGCAGGGATCGTGGCAGGCTGCGTGGCGCAGCAGCCCATCACACAGCGCTCATGAGCCAGCACTCAGTGCCCTGCGCATCCCCGTCGCCCCGGCTCCCTTTACATCAGCCACACCGGTGGCTGCAAGGAAAGCTCCGCAGGAATGGGGAATCCCAGCTCCTGGGCACAGCAGGCAGGCTGGGGCACTGCCCTCATCAGTGGTGCCCAGGACGTGGATGGGGAGGCTCACGAGGAGACACTGGCACGGCAGGGTCAGCAGCCCCCAGGTCTCGAATCTTCCCCATACTGGCAACAGGCAGGACCTTTCAAACCCAAATCTCTCAGACCATGACCCAAAACAGAGCGAGGAGGCCCCCAGCAGCGCTTCCTCTGGTGGAAGAGGACTCCCTTGTAGTCCCCCTAACATTGCTTCACCAGAAACAACCCCCGGGCTTCCTCTGTGGCCTGGAAGCAGTGTCTAACCCCTCGGTCTGTGTAAGGTTCTGGCTGATGCAGGCTACAGGCCCAGTGATGTGCCCGAGCGTGAGGGGGTGCCCCGGGACACTGCCCCAGGGCCAGGAGAAATCACAGGATCGT